AGAGTCCAGTTTTCCCAGGAAGGCAGGTTTCATAGCAGTTTTTGTTAAAGCGTATCATGTGATCTCAAAGTCTTCTTAATTTTGGCTTCAAGAAAAGCATGCGACCAAACAAGATGCGGCCAATGGGACTTAAAGCCATAGCCCCTGTGATAGTAGAAACACAGATCCTACTGCTGCATCAAAATACAGAAAGTAGGATACTGAAGAGAGTCTTGGCTTGTTTTGAAGGAGAGCCAGGGGGAAGAAAAGATGTATTGTGAAATTTGCTTAAAATGCCCTACCATAGCAATGAGTCACTCTGAATCTGGTAGGAATGCCTTTGTAAATGGCTGTGATAAATTTCACATTGAACCAATTAAAGCTCGTGAAACAAGCAAAGCTTGTGTTTAAACAAGAAAATAAAAAAGCACTTGTGCAGTCAGAGGCATCAACAAGTACAGCAACGAACAATGCTGGTTTTGCAGTTCAGTCAGTCAGCCCATTATTGTTGAAGCGCTACAAAAACTGAAGGAGGTAGAAGGGAAGAGACGTACTGTTTTATTTAACAACGCATACTCACTTGCAAAACAAGGAAAGCTTCTTTCAGACATGGATATGTTGTGCTGAGCAATGATAAAGGCTGGTGTGGACTTAGGGAAAAACTACTCTAATCTTGGAAAAGCTGCTGAATTCATCAAATGTGAAGTAGAAATCATTTGACAGGACATCAAAGAGATTGTCAGAAATGCAAGATTTATCTGTATTATTGCAGATGGCAGCACTGGTAGTTCCATAATTGAACAGGAAACTGTGCTGCTCAGGGTTGTCAATGAAAGAAAAACCTTATACAGCATTGTAGACATTATCCCAGTGGAGCATGGACATGCTGCAGGTGTGCTAGATGCGATTGTGAAAGGTCTTAAAAACCTGTCTTTCGACATCCAGCCTGTGAGGTCTCCTGAACAGCCTGCTTTATCACTTATCTCTGTAAATGTTGATGATGCTGCTGTAATGATGGGCTGAAAAGGTGGTCTGGCAGCACTGATAAAGAACGACATTCCATTTCTGCTGCCTGTACACTGTGTAGCACACAAGCTTCAACTGGGGATTCTAGACGCTGTAAAGAACACTCTTTATATTGTTTGTTTTGAAGAAACCTTGAAATGGGTTAAGTTCTACTGGAAAAGCCCTAAAAGGCGAAGAGATGCAAAAGAAATAGCAAAAGTAATAGAAGAAAGTTTTGCTCACTTCAGTGACTTTAAGTGAGTGAAATGGGTTTCAAGCAAAAAAAAAGGGCTTTCTTGTAATTACAAAGGAATATAGAGCATTCCCAACAAGTCCACTGTAGGTGACACTGCCAACTGGTTTTACAAAAATTGCGGGGGAGTCTTGGCACATGGCAGCCACCCCTATACTCTGCAGTCCGCTATTAGAAGTCACCCCTTGCATAGCAACCCAAACTTTAAGAACTTACCTAAGAGTAGACAGAAAAAGTAAAAATGCTTAATAAAGGTGTGGGTGTCTCGACTGACCTCACTCTCTTTCACTAGGTTGTCGCTCCTCTGGATTTTGGGTTCTTCTTTAGATGAGGCAGCAGGTAAACTGTCCAGGATAGACGTTTCCCCTTTCCAGAATAACGACTTTTTGCCATGGGATTTTAAGCTCTTTTTAACATGTGTGAGAACAATCAAATATGGCTGTTCTGAAAATCTCTACTCTGCGCATCAGTTTGTAAAATTGGAAAATGAACATAGATGGAAGAATGCAACCCAGAAAGGGCATGTAAAACAATGGATAGCCATTAAAATGTACAGATTCCATACAGAAAGGAGACAGTGTGATTTGTTTTTCAAGATTTAGCATAAGCAATCACCCATATTGTGCCCCTGGCTAGATTCCAAATGATAGATATCATGTTTATTTAACAGGTTTATTTATAAAACTAGAAATTCCTATATTTCCCAGTACCATCTAGGGATTCTAGTGCCCTGCGTACGGCATCTGCCCAGCTATACGCTGGGTTGAAATTTTATAACTAAACCCTTGTGTGTCTTAAGGTGATCCTATAAAATACAATTTGATGAAATGGCCAATTAGATTAATTAGAACACATAAAGTTATCAAAAGTATAGAAAATTTACAGAAATCAATGCAAGAATATATGCAGATAATAGTCCAAAATACAAGAAGGAAACACAGAGAAATATTATATAAAAATGGAAGGAAATGTGTTTCTGAAGTGTATGAAAATGTGTGATGGCTGTGAGAAGTTGTCAGCAATCCTTAGTGTGTGAGAAGTGTGTGCGGGTAGCTTGCGTGGAAGTGGGAAAGGTTTCCTTGTCTTCTGACCCCTCGTGATTATATATAAGTTCTGTGTAAAAAAAAATAAGGCATTGTGAGTAACTGAACATCCCCTTGGTCTGGTAGTGTTATTAGTCTGCCCCACAAGCACATTTCTATCACATTACATCACGTATACACTACATCAGGGGTGCCCACAAGGTCGATCACGATCTACCAGTCGATCGCGTAGCGATCACTGGTAGATCACACTGTCCTCTCCTCCCGCCGCTTCTCTGGATCCCCGCTGCTCTCCCCAGGGGGGATCCGAGAAGAAGTGAAGGAACTGGCGGCGGGGAGGACGGAGCCGCTGTCGCAGAACTAATGC